CCATTCTTCCCCCTATGACTTGAAATGCCACCTATTTTATATACTGAGTTCCTTGTTACATATCAGTCATCTTTTGGCCTATTACATTGCTCTAAGTCAGTGTCTGGCAAATCACAGCTTGTGGGATAAATTTGGACAGCTGCCTGTCGTAAACAAAGTTTATTGGAAAATCTTCATGCTCATTTGTTTATATATTGTCTATGGCTGCTTTCACATTACAATGGCAGAGTTCAATAGCTCCAACAGAGGCCACATGGCCTGCAAAGCCTGAAATATTTACTGTTTGGCCCTTTATAGAAAAACTTGCCAATCCTGTGTCAGTATCAAAAAGAACAAACTCTATAGTGCATTTTACATCTATCTGGAAAACATATTGTCTTTGGGTCTATTTTTCAAAAGATTTTTAGCAATTTTTTAAGCCTTTTGAATTTTATTTACATTTAATTGACCATTGATAGGCTGGGTTTAAATGTCCTATTTGCTCTTGGTTCCTTTTTTCCTCTTTGCCTTCTTTTGGGTTTAGTAAGTTTTATTCTTTTGCCTCTTGTGCCTCTTTGCTTATTTTTGTGGTGGCTTTAGACTTTAGAGGATGTGTCTATAAGCTACCATGATCCATCTTCAAGTAATACTACATCATTTCAAATATAGTAGAAGAAACTTACAACAGTATGCTTTCATTTCTCTTTTTTGGTCTTTTTGCTATTGTCATACACTTCACTTTTAACATACGTTATAAACTCCATAACATATTGTTTTTGTTTTTGCTTTAAACGCTCACTTTAAAAAAGATTTATAATTTTAAAAAACTGTGTTTTTTATTTACCCACATATTTACCATTTCTGGAGCTCCTCATTCTTTGTTCAGATAAAGTTCTTTATCTGGTATTTTTCTTTCTGCCTGAAAGATTTCCATTAACATTTCTTCTGCAGATCCACTGAACTTTCTCAGCTTTTGTCAGTCTGAAAGAATTTTTTATTTCAACTTCATTTTTAAAAGAGATTTTTCCCTGGGTATAAAATCCTAAGTGGATAGCACTTTCTTTCAGTATTTTAAAAGGCTTGCTCTTTAAGCCAAGTTAGGCAGGACAGAGCAGTCTTTAATCTTGGAAAACTCCCTTCTGAGTACTTTATAAGATGCCCACAAATTACCAGGTTTTTTTAATTCTTGCTGGTAGGAAGCACAAACAATTTCTTGAGCTATGTGAGCTACAGGAATTGTTTTGTGCCTTTCTCATGGTTCTCTCCTCAGCCTCAGATGTTTCCCTCCAATGTACGTGCTGACCAGTATTCAGCTCAAAATCTGAGGAGGCACTTCAGATCTCCAGAGTGTGCTCTCCTCCTCCTCCCACTTTGTGCAGCTCTCTTCTCTCAGGTAGTCTGCCCTGTGAACTCTGGCTACCTTGGCCTCCCCAGATTCACTATTCTGTCTTCTCAATTCAAAGAACTCGCTGGAATCAAACAGGGCTCCTCCTTCCTTATGGCCTGGAAACTCTCCAGCAGTAAGCCGGGCAGTAATAAAGCCCTTGTTTCCCTTTGCTCAGGGCTTACTCTACTGCACTGCCTATTTTTGAATGCCTGAAAAACATTTTTTATACATTTTTATTGTTGTTGTTTAAGGTGAGGGAAAACTGATCCCTATTACTCTATCATAGTTAAAATGTTTCATTTGGGATTTTGATTGGAATTGATGGAAAAATTGACATCACATTATTGAATCTTTCCTTTTAGGAACATGGCACATTAATTTATTTAGACCTTTTTGAACTTCTCCAGTGAATTTTATGGTCTTCCACATTCATATTGATATTGCATTCAAAGGTCCCCTGATAGGCGCCTTCACGTCTCTCTTACAGCATCTTATTTATACCCTGTGGAAATGCAGGGATGGTCTAAAGAAGACACTGGGGCTTCTGCTTCTTTAAGTAGCTCTTAGACCTGATCTCTTCCTCCCACCTGTAGCTCAGAAGAGGGCCTGTGACTTGACCATAGGTGTTGGCTGTGTTCCAGCTGACACTTTCATGATGGCAGAGTAAAGCAATGGCATAGGGTCTGGTTGGGATGAGAAGCACTAGGAACACCCCTCATGGAACCCCAAGGTAGAAGCTGGCTTAGAGCTGCTTCATTTGGGCATGGCTTGCCTGAAGCTTTTTTCTATAATTGGGCATGGATGTATTCTAAGAAGTAAAACCTGAAGATTCAACTATATAGGTCTACTGGAAGTGCTATAATCTCTAACTGGTTGTGGGGTGGGTCACTTTACCTACCTTATTTATACTCTGTGCCTTTCCTGTGATAGATGGTTGCTAATACACAGAAGGAGAATCCTCTATTATTTCAGGTAAACAGGCACTTGTGGGCTAGTTAGGAAAGTTGGGGATGTGTTCTACCTATCAACCAACCAATTAAGAAGAAAACTTGGGATATAATTCCTTCCTAAGCTGAGAACTGTCTGTTATTATGACATCAATTTCTTGCTGTAATGGCAGTAATAAACTGAGGGGACCTTAACTGATGACAGATGATACTAGATGAGTAAACTCATCCTAAGTAATGTGTTGGTTAATTATAGCTGTGCCATGTTTACACACATTCAGTCAATCTAAGGAGTATATAACTCCATACTAATGTCTGCAATGTCTCACAGCATCTGAGCAGGACTTTTTGGAGGTCAGCCTCCTTCAATTAACTCAAAACACATTCTTAAACATCAAAGGGCTCAGTGAAATTTAGCTTACTTTTTAAAATTACACCTCTGTGTAGGGATCAACTTGTACAAAGTATTGTAGAAAGGGTGAGGCAAATAAAACAGTGACAGGGAGATATTGAAATATTTTACTCTTCTCACATAACTCTTACCCTCAAACTTAGCCAAACAGTCTTATGATATAATACCCAGGTCTCTAGAATTTGTGTGTATTCAGACTTCTTGAAACTGTGACTTCAGTGCCTCACTTGAATGGTCTACCATCTGACTGCTTTAGTGGTAAGAAGACAATGTCATTCTCGCAAAAGGCGATGTACTTGATCACTCTGGAGACCCAACTCATCCCAAGCATAGGTCACGCGAGTTTAGGAGCAGACAGCCTGGTGGGTCTGTATTGCTCAGGCTCACCTACCTACAGACCAATGGGTTGCAATCCTAATACACATTAACATCACCTGCAAAACTTTTAGCGGTACTATGCTCCCACTTCAGACCATACAAAACAGGAGCTCTGGTATGCACCACAGGCATTACTGTTTTAAGTTCTCTAGGTCATTCTAATATGCAGCCAGGGTAGAGAACCACTGTTATAAACTAGAGTGGTTGTGGCCCTGTTACCAATTCTTAAAGTTCTAAGTATTCATGCAGAAGAGGTTTTAATTCATAACAAAGCAGTGGCTAACTTTTTAGTCCTCCTAAGGATATGCTAAGTGTGGAAAACTTGCCTCTTTCTCCAGTACTTAATTTAGGAGGAGACAGCCTTGTGTTTATGTGTGTGTCCATGACAGGGAGACACACTGTCCTCTGCCTCTGAATCTTTTTTCTCCCTGCTGCCTCATCTTTAGCTCAGGTCCTCATCAGCTCTGTGGTCCTGTTACCCTCTCACCCTTCCTACCTTCTATAATTAGCAATGATCCCATTATTGCTCTCAAACCCCAAACTTGTCTCTTTCCTCTCATCATCCCCCTTCAATGGCTCCCTGCTGTCCAACTGTGTCCTCCTCTGGGCACCCAAGGCCTTTCATGACTAGGATGAAGAGTCATTCTTCATGAGTAAAAGTCTCTTGCAGGTCCCTGCATGAGCACTGTTGTCTCCAGCTTTTAAGTCTCGGCCTGGACAGCTTGTACCTCACCCCATCCTGCCAGAAGTCCCCATTCAAGGCTCTTCTTCTTAGTATAATCTCAGCTGTTCACACCTCCCACCCTGGGTCATCACTGCCTCTGTGCTAAAGCAATACCTGTATAATCCTATGTACCTGGCACACTGTGGGTACACAAAACAATAGTGCATGACAAAAAAACTTCATTTATCACACTATCAAAATTGTTCCTATCTTCCCTATCATATTCTGAGCTTTTTCCAAGGCCAGTGGGTAACATGGAGTATGTAGTATAAAAAGCAAAGCTTTTGGAAATGGATTTGGGTTTAAAACTCTGCTATCACTTAACTAACTGTAGGATCTTAAGGAAGCTCAACTGTTTCTTCAGCTGTAAGGTGACTACTCCTTGAAGGCTTGTGAGGATTAGACATGACCTGTGTAATCAGATACATAGTCTATGAGCAGATATTTTCTTCCCTTGACTCCATTCACTTACAATTTACCAGACACTGCAAAAATTCATAACTAACACCCTACTAGAAAGTTTTTGTTTTGGATTATATGCTTCCAAATGGCCAACTGCTCAATTTTATAAAAGTTAAATATCTGTTAGAAGATTTGAAAGTCCTCCTTTCTCCCACTCCAGTCATCAGGGGGCATATTATAACCATTACCTTATTTGATTCCTCAAATTGTCCTTTCAGTTATTATTCCTATTTTATAGCCAAGACAACTGGAACAAAGAGAAGGTAATGTATTTTCTTTTGGAAAGAGAGCCAGGACTTATCAAAATCTTGTCTATTGGTGTTCCGGTCTCTATTCTTTATGCCATATTGCCCTCACACTGAGCCTTGGGAATGCATACTTTTAAATGTAGCCACTCCTTTTTATGAAATGAAAACCAATGATTATTATTTTAAGGACAAAGTTCAAGCAGTTTATTCTAACTTGAAGAATGAAAAATATTTTACTTTAAAAAGTAGAGTCCTTTCATCCTCACAATTTGGGACTGAACAGTGGCTGATTGCCACAACCTCTTGGACTTATCCTCGTAGAACCTTGTTTCCTTCATCTCTAACTTGAGATAGTAACAGTACTTGCCTTTGGGAGTATGAGGGTTAGATGTTTTAATACATGAATTTCCAACATATGAGGAGCAGGGTCTGGCACATGGCAGTGCTCAGCGTCAGTTCTTACCATCAACACCATGAGGGCTGTTTGTTCAGAATTCTATCATACTGGACTTTTGGATTTCCTTTAATGTGCTCTATTATAGGAAAGAAGAACACAAAGAAAACATTCATTTTTTAATGCTTTCCGCTTATGTGAAAACTCTAATAATAAAAAAGGCAATTTAAGGACAAATAAAAGTAACTTTATTGACTGCTAATCTTACCATGAAATGCCTATATGAAATAATTACAAAATAATGCAGTTTTTTATACACTTTTGGTATCATCCTGATATGATGATCCTTTCACAGAAAGGATTATTTACAGTTTATGTGGATATAAAGCTCACTCTTGCAAATACAAATGTAGATGTGTAGAGGCAACACATACCATATTGGTATACTGATTAGCAAAAGATTAACAAATGCAGAATAAATAACAGGTTCATACTTTTCTTATCCTTTTTTATTTTTTAAAACAATTTCCAAATACAAAAATGTAAATATTCAAAATGGATTTTCATATACACATATCATTCTGCTGCAAACAGTGGATCAAAAAGCAAAAATGTTCCTTAGTATGTTCTGTTTTTGAAAGCCCATAATACTATTCATAGATCCTATTAGAAAGAGGGTGTGCAAAACCACCAACAATGCTGGCAAAACCCTGAAGACCTGATTCTGCTTGAAGTACAGAGAAAATAAAATATAAAGCATTACACACTTGACTAAATACATTTATTCTTGATGTTTGTTCAAGAATCTCTAAGAGCTAAGGAAATGTACCACATTAAGATCTGGGCTCTTTATAAAGTCAAACTTCACCGGGATTTGTTTCCTAAGTATCTATAAGAAATGTTGGATTATTTAATGACTTACAAGTAAAACAGTCATTAGATAATCTTTTCATCCTTTTATATAGAAACTGAGATACTTTTATACATTCTGACATCGGAAACTTTGGTTCTTTTAAAATATTTGATACAAGCAAAATAATTTCATGGCTACAGAACTCCATAGGATATTTTCCTTTCAAAGTGTCAAGATAAACTAATTTGACCAGGCTTGTTGTGTTCATACTGTCCTCCACATCTGCTCAGGGACAGGTGAGGGGAAGCACAGGTTGAGCTTGTTCATGTTCTCTATGTGCTTATAATACTGATCCCATCCATGGATAATACTGCATGCTCTGCTGTACCCTAAATCTATTTCTGTTACCTGAAAACTTAATTTTGTATAAAAATAAGACTGTTTCTTTAGAAAATAATATATAGTTTTTTTTAAGAAATCCTGTAAGATAGAAAAATGGTATATCAAAATATGGTAAACAAATGTTGCAAAATATGAAATCATTAAAAACATCTCATAGAAAGACATTGTGCTATAGTTCTTTCCTGAAGCTCAAGCAACATTGTTACTGTACATCTAAAGGTAAGTTCACTCTCTTGACTTGGTTTCATTATATATCCTAACAGCAGCAGCAGTAATTATATTAAAAATGGCCTCTCCACAAACTAACATTTTCTGTATACTTGCATACTTTTACTTCAAAATCAACAAAAGACACCCTTCTAGATCAGTGGTTTTCAAACCTGTTGCATATAGCTCCATTTGGCAAACTTTAAAAGAAAAGGCAATTCTACCTGAGTCTCACCACAACATACTGATTTAATTGGTCTGGAGTGGGATCCAGACATTTTTTTTTTTTAAAGCTCCCCAGGTAATTCTATTATGCAGCCAGGGTTGAGAATCACAGCAAAAGACATATGGGAAAAGAGTTGTTCTTAACTTTACATATATCAATTGATTGTCTGTAGGTACCATTCATTCAGTGACACATCCTCCATATTCAACAAAGACCATGTATACAAGATAGCCATGGAAGCCAAAATGAAGAGTTAGTAAGCTTTAAACACATATCAACACACAATCTCAGATATTTATGTATGTATAACATATATGTACAGCTAGGGCATTTGGTTACATAGGACCTAACATTACCATAATTTGTTCTTGACTGAAAAAAGAAACAAACACCAGGCACAAACATTTGCTAAGACATTTTCATAGTTTTAACAGAAACTGGTTTTTGTAAACTCCACAAAATGCATGATGCAATGGACACAATTGAACAATTACTTGGATGAGAAACTCAACTGATTCCTAGAGCTTTCTGGACAAGCAGGAGGAGAGCATGGCACTGACCCCACATGAGGGAGTCACAGGCATCACAGCAAGCACAGCCTTCTGGTTATTGCTTGATTTGTGTCTTCTGGCCCTGGGCTGTGCTTCCATTACGTATAGATATAGATCTCTTTGGCTTGCTAGAACCACATGATTTTGACCACTTCATAAGTGTTCATTCTGGACAGCCCAAGTAAGACAGCAAAGGCTATATACTAGGCAATAATCTCTTTGTTAAATTAGAGAGACTTTTTTCTCTCCTCCCTCAAACCATGCACATTTCATGAGGGAGTGATAAAAAATTTACAAGCAAACAAATAAACCTAGCAACATCTTTGACATAATAATAAAAAAAAGGATGTTATGTGTAAATAAACTGAAAAAGTAATGACCAGACACACCACAGTTCAGTATTTTGCAGGCTTAGTAACCAGAAAAGCACATTTCCTTCCAAAGGATCATGAATTTCCGGGCACTTGATTGCTATATGTTCTCTGTAGTTCTTTTATTTCTCTGTAATACTTAAAGTGCAATTGTCCCAAAGCTTTTATTTCCATTGCAAGTATCATAAAGAAAGAGCTATGGTTTTGGGTTGAAGAAAATATGGCACAAGTAATCATTAAAGAAAAAATTCATGGCTTTCACAGCCTCTAGCAAAGAGTAGGCTGCCTGTATCTACACAGACATTTTTTATACAACAAACTCTGGAACTTCATCATGAGTGAGATCCAAAGAAAAGTATTTGCTGGTTCTTTTGACTGGGAAAGTATCTTGAATGTTGACACACTGCTGAGCCAAGCAGCTATTGCAGTAGAGGCCCTCCTCATCCAGTTCATGGCCACATCCAAACGTGTAACTCTGAGCAGTGTCTTGACACAGACCTGCAATGCGCAAGAAGTCTTTCTGGTAAAGTCTGATGTCATCAAGGCTCAAGCTATGTCGATCAGTGGAGGTCTTTGGTTTTCGACATATAGTCTGCAAAATAAGGGAAGGCTGAAACAACTTAAAGAGTACAGACTAAAGTGAAGGGCTAGCAATATTTGCCCTGTAAAGAGAGGCTGCAAAATTATAAAATGTTAAGGAATCCTTTTATGTTAGAAAGTGTTTTCCAATCTGAGGTTTCTGGGCCCCTGAGGCCCTGTGGGGAAAAACATCACCACCACCACCACCACTAACAGCACCTAACATTTACTGAGGCCTCATTCTGTGCAAGGCCCTAATCAAAACAGGGTATATATATTTACTCATTTAATCTTCCCATCAATCCTATGAAGGCAGGTGCTATTATTCTCCCTGTTTTACAGATGCATAATCCAAGATACAGAGAAGTAAATGCAACAGCAATCCAGACAGATGCCTCTAGGATATGGCAATTCAGTGTGGTAACACTCTCATTTGAGGTCTGTTATTATTTTAATAAAAAACAGGAAAAACAAATCAATTATCACTCAAGAAGCAGAGTTTGAAGAATTACTTTTTAAGAAGTCAGAATTCTTGGGTCGAAAAATAATATGATGTCACTGGCACAAGAAAGGTTGGGAGGCAAGTCCCAGGATTGAGAGGCAGCTCCTGAATAAGAGCTGTAGGAGGTCCTTTTCTGCCAGATGCTTCATGCAGCAGGCAGACTTTCAGAACTCATCCCAAGTTGGTGGTACTGGCTAAAAATATGAATAGGTTTAGAAATGGTTCATGTAATTACATGAATGGAAGATACTTAATGGGTTATTTAATGAAATGAGGCACTGTATCTCTAACTTTAGCTGCTGAGGACCACAAAGGCCAACCTTGGTAGAATAAGATACCACCTGGAGGCATTGTACTAGGAGAACTCTCCTCTGAGCCCAGGTTTGAGCCCAACAACATTTTAGTAGGCAGGGTAACATCTGAGTACTCCCTGAGGATGATGATCCTTGGTGCCCTGCAGTATTCCCAGGTGCCAACATGTCACATTTTATAGGTGTGGAACCTGATCCTTAGCTGTGCCCCATAAACATTTTTATACAATAAGAGGTAACACTGAGTGGTAGAGCTGGGGTGCAAAGCCAAGGTTTGACCCTGGAGCTCGTACTCCTAATCATAATGCTACATGTGCTGCTTTAAAAATTACTCACTGGGGTTTTCAAAAAATATTTAATGAAACATCATGTTCACATTACAGCAACTTAAATATAAGTAAGAAAAGGAAAGAGCAAGTGAGGAAAAAAAAAGCAAGAAAGAGAGAAAGCAAATAGGGGACAAGAAAAGCCAGAACCAAGAGAAAGAAAGAGAAAAGTAACATACACAGGAAGCAAAAACACAGAAAACAGAAGAGACAAAAAAAGCCCCAAGATGGGGAGGAATATAATGAGAAAGAGAATGCTCAAAAATTAGAGGCAAGTATCAGTTGTAATTATATTCAAATGCTGCAACCATGAGTTTCAGAGTATTTTAATTTTTGACATTTTAGTAGTCTAACCAGCCATCATAGGTTATCAAATACTCTCGCTTAGAATACTTTGAAAAATCAATCTGAATGAAATAATCAGACTGTAGAAACATTTCTGCCATGACACAATTGACAAGAAAATTATTCCCCCAGTTACTGAGGTCAATGATCACACACATACACACATACAGTTAAGCCTGCAGCCTGAAGACTAGAGGCTTTCTTTTCACCTATACATAGTGTGAAACAAAATAATTTATTCAAGTAAAAATCAACTTAAAAATAAATGGAACTAGTAAATAATGTCTTTTTTTTTCAGAAAAAAACCCAGAATGTATCTGGTAAGAATTATTTACTTAAGGTTTTTAATTTTTGCTCCTTTATATCAATATAAGTTACTATTTAAATTTTCCTGTAACTTAACTTTCTGACTTAAGTTTTTCAATTCTTTCTGTACCTGTGGAAGAGAATCAGTAC